CATTGTGCTGTTAATATTAGTCACAATGGTTTTCCATCCAGATTTCTTTAAAAATCACTTAGCTGTAGTCTATTGGGAATTAATTTCTAGGAGTTGGTCTTTAAGATGTCTCTGCTACTTGTTCAGTGTTAAGTGTTTTCCTTAAACTTTCTGGTTACTCAGAGCTTTTCTTTAGCTCATTCTGTATAATGCTACTGCTAATTTTAGATTCAGATTCATCTACTTCTAGCACTTATATTTTGCCTTTCAGGAAGTTTCTTAAAAAAAATGGCAGTTATTCAGCTCTGAGTATTTCCACTCTTCTTATGAAGTCATTTTGCTTTTTGAAGTATCTATGAGATTTTGATACTATAGAGAGTGAATACGGTGAAGATTTCTTGCCTGGCATGAATTGTAAACTGGAACTTACCTCTCTCTCCAACTCAAAAATGGTTGTCTTATGCACACTGCTTGATGAAAGTATATTTTGGAACACACTACTCATATTCAGTAGTGTTATAGAATAAACTACCTGGGGTCTTTTTGACAATGTAGATTGGTATACTGAAAGGACATTTGAGTAAATAAGGAAATATGGTCAAAAGTAGAGATTACTGAATATTGAGGTATCTATTACTGCATTACATAGTTATATACAAATAATCTTAATATTTATTTCTTTTTTTTTTGTATTTTTGACCTATATGTTAACTATTATAGAATGCAAATTTGACTGTGATTTTTAAAACTAAAATATTCTCTCTCTTTAATGTAGCATGAACTTCCCTTGTGGCTCAGCTGGTAAAGAATCTACCTTCAATGTGGGAGACCTGGGTTCAATCCCTGGGTTGGGAAGATCTCCTGAAGAAGGGCAAGACTACCCACTTCAGTATTCTGGCCTGGAGAATTCCATGGACTGTATAGTCCATGGGATCGCAAAGAGTCAGACACAACTGAGTGTCTTTCGCTTAGTGTAGCATATAGGCTAAATATAAGACAAATATTTAGACAAATCTGAGTTTGATTCTCAGTTCTAGTGTTTTCCTGAGCAAGTTGTTTTATCTAATTCTTGTTTTTATTATCTTTAATGATCGTGACAGTTCTTCTCTCATTGAGAAGAATAACAGAGGTATTACATATCCGTGTTCATCTTTATGTACAAAATGACACCTGTGACAGATAAGATTCCACAGGGGTGGGACCAAAAGAATGCTTTTCCATAACTAGAGTGAGGATCAGCCCCTGAGCAGAGAAATCACATCAGGGTGTTCATGAGAAAGGCAGAGCTGTAGCAACAATTTCAAATGGAGAATTTTACAGAATAATTTCCATAGAAATAATGTTTCCATGGAAATCAAAGAGTTTTTCAAGACTGTATGTCAAAAGGCCTCCAATAGGGGAAAAAAAATTTAAGAGAAACAAAGAATTATTTCCTGAGAGGACATTTCAGACAAAAAGGAGTGGGGGAGGAAGAACATTAGTACAAAAGAGGGCGAAGACCAAGGGGAAAAATTTACTTAGCCACACTGGTTAGGGGTTGTCACTAACTCCTTACTAAAGAAGAACTGGAAACAATATTGGATCTGCAGCTGACCCTCCAAAATGCATCCAATGCAGCTACATGGAGTTATCTGTATACAATCATGGCATCAATGCATAGAGGCTGTATGCTCCCCAAATCTCAAGGGAAGACAGAAGTTTGTGTCCTTCAGAAACTGGACAGACTTTTTGATGATGGCCATTCTGACTGTTGTGAGATGATACCTTGTTGTAGCTTTGGTTTGCATTTCTCTAATAATGAGTGATGCTGAGCATCTTTTCATGTGTTTGTTAGCCATCTGTATGTCTTCTTTGGAGAAATGTCTGTTTAAGTCTTCTGCCTAGTCTTTGATTGGATTATTTTTCTGGTATTGAGCTTCATGAACTGCTTGAATATTTTGGAAATTAGTTCTTTGTCCGTTGATTCATTTGCTGTTATTTTTTCTCAATCTGAGGGTTTTCTTTTTACCTTGCTTTTAGTTTCCTTCATAAGCTTTCCTTGCAAAAGCTTTTAAGTTTAATTAGGTCACAGTTGTTTATTTCTGTTTTTATTTCCATTACTCTAGGAGATGGGTCATAGAGGATCTTGCTGTGGTTTATGTCAAAGAGTGTTCTGCCTATGTTTTCCTCTAAGAGTTTTACAGTTTTTAGTCTTACATTTAGGTGTTTCTTTAATCCATGTTGAGTTTATTTTTGTGTATGGTGTTAGGAGGTGTTCTAATTTTATGATTTTACATGTAGCTGCCCTCTGTTTCCAGCACCACTTTTTGCATTTAGGTTGGTTCGAATGTGGTGGACGAACCTAGAGCCTATTATACAAAGTGAAGTCAGAAAGAAAAAGACGAATGTTGTATTTTAACGCATATATATGGAGTCTAGACAGATGGTACTGATGCACCTATCTGCAGGGCAGCAGTGAAGATGCAGACGGAGAACACGCTTTTGGACACAGTGGGGGAGAGAAGGTGGGATGATTCGAGAGTAGCATGACACATATATATTGCCATATGTAAAGTAGCTGGACAGGGGACATTTGGGTTTCCCTGATGGCTCAGATGGCAAGGAGTCTGCCTGCAATACGGCGGACCTGGGTTTGATCCCTGGGTGGGGAAGAGTCCCCGGAGAAGGGCATGGCAACCCACTCTAGTATTCTCGCCTGGAGAACTCCATGGACAGAGGAGCCTGGCGGACTACAGTCCATGGGGCCACAAAGACTCAGATGTGACTGAGCGACTAGTGCACACAGTGTGAATTTGCTATCACACAGAACCCAAAGCCGGTGCTCTGTGACAGCCTAGAGGGAGGGGTGGGATGGGGTGGGGACAGGAGGGAGCTCAGGAGGAAGGGGATGTATGTATACCTATGGCAGATTCCTGTTGATGTATGGTGGAAACTATCACAATATTGCAAAGTAATTATCCTCCAAATAAAAGTAAAATAAAGTTTAAAAAAAATTAAAAAAGAAACTGGATAGAACTGTGAAAAATATAAACTTGGGACAACCTAGATGCCCATTAGCAGACGAATGGATAAGGAAGCTGTGGTACATATACACTATGGAATATTACTCAGCCATTAAAAAGAATTCATTTGAATCAGTTCTAATGAGATGGATGAAACTGGAGGCCATTATACAGAGTGAAGTAAGCCAGAAAGATAAAAACCAATACAGTATACTAACGCATATATATGGAATTTAGAAAGATGGTAATGATAACCCTATATGCAAAACAGAAAAAGAGACACAGATGTACAGAACAGACTTTTGGACTCTGTGGGAGAAGGCGAGGGTGGGATGTTTCAAGAGAACAGCATCAAAACATGTATATTATCTAGGGTGAAACAGATCACCAGCCCAGGCTGGATGCATGAGACAAGTTCTTGGGTCTGATGTACTGGGAAGACCCAGAGGAATCGGGTGGAGAGAGAGGTGGGAAGGGGGATCGGGATGGGGAACACATGTAAATCCATGACTGAATCATGTCAATGTATGACAAAAACCACTACAATATTGTAAAGTAATTAGCCTCCAACTAATAAAAATAAATGAAAAAAAATTGTGAAACAGAAATCACAGTCCTGTGTAATCATTTTTTTTTTCATGAAAATAAAACATAAAAACAAAGGACACGAATCAGCATCTGAAGATTCTGGACAAGAGTTAGCAGTAGTTAAAGCAGGAGAGAAGCAAATGTAGTTTCACACCAGGCTTCTGTGATTTCTCGATTTCATTGGGCAGTACCATCCCACACCCCAGCACTCCTCTCCACCATTGCTAGATTAGGAACTTACATGAGGCTGCCATGTTCTCATTTTTCCAAATACTGACATTTAAAAATAATCACAGATCAGGACTTACTACTTCATTCATTTCACAAAAGAAGGGACTGATAGGAAAAACATAGTATGGATGTGAACTCAGGAGATGCATTATAAAAAGTCCCTACATTGTTCCTATTTTCCTCATTTTGGTGCTGGTGACAGCTTCTCTGTAGACTGGAATTAGTTCGTGGGTTAGAATTTCAACCTCAACCTCATTGATCCAGTCCAGTCTTCTGTTCCAGCATCATGATAAAGGCATTATACCACCAACTACAGCATTTCATTCTTTTGCAAATGCATATGAAGTTCTCGTTACACAATGTGGGATAAATCCATCTTAGCAAACCCTTTATTGGTTTTAACAAATGTTAACCTTTGCACTTTGACTTACAGATCAATATTGACCCTATCTGGTTATTACGAGTCAAGATTCCCTTTGGATTTGCTACAAATAAAACTGACCAAGTGCTTTGTTTAAAATTCCTGTTATGTCACTTACAACACCAAATTGCAATTTTTGTTGGCATTGTGATCTCCCTAACTAGACAATAAATCCCTTGAGGGCAGGATCTAGTTTTCCTTATCTTGTTACCCTTACAACTAAAGCAATGTTTGGTACATTGTGAATCCTCATAAAGAATTTGAATGGCTCAGCTTAGTTTATGTCTCCTGGAACATCATAAACATAAACATAAACATATGTCTCCTGGAACATCATCATTATACATAGCAAATCCTTGCTGCTGTTTTATACTTTATTGATGGAAGTGGAATTGGCTCCATCCTTCAACATTCACTCATTCATTCTTCAGACACACATGAAACCCTTGCTATGTGCCTTCCACTGTGCTAATTACTAAAGATAATCAAAATAACCAGAATGTAGTTCTTGCCTTCAAATATGTCAAGAAGAATTCCTTTCTGGAGCTCACATTAGCTTTGTGGCAGACTGCCAATATCCTGAATGATAGAAACAGTTTGAAATCTTAATAGAGTGAACATTTACTCTCTTATGTGTTCTTATGTCTCCAAGCAGCAGCACCCACTCTATGTAACAGCCCTCCTTTCTAACAGATGACAGCCGCTATCCTCATAATACAGTTTACTTAAATTGGAGCCTGAGCCTTACCCGCTTTAAATGAAAGAATAAATCTGCTTACTATTGCAAGTCTTGTTGTATTTGCTGTTCTCCTGTGCAAACCCTTCCAGCCGGCACTGAAAGCGATGCTGCCAAAATTCTTGAAACCAAGGGTTTCGGAGGTTTGTTTCTGGCCGGAGCTTCAGATAATAATCATCAAACCACTTGACGTCGGGAGACTGGAGCTTGATTGTGATTCCACCAACAGCTTCTCGCTGATAGCCATCTGTCACATCGTACCTGTCCGCCCAGCCGTCACTGTGGAGAAACAAAAACCCCTCCGCTCAGAACAGGTCTCGTCTGAGAAAACGATGCTGTTTGCTATCGTTTTGAAAACATTCGCCAGTAAATGGCACTCAGGCCACACTGTGGTCTTACATTATACTACGTGATTATTGAGATAGCAGCTTGGTAGGATATAAAGTGCAAAATACAGTGGAAACTTTGCATCTAAGAATGCTAGAAGATATCAGTCTCACTTACCTTGAACTGCAGAGAATAACCTTATGGTTTTGGCAGAATTTCACTGGTTGTAAAACATAGTATAAGCATGAAAGTTGTATATCACCTTTCACACTAATTACTGAATGCTTAATAGCGAGGTTAAATTAATTTTAAGTATATTTCTTTTCCTATACTTTATAATAAATCATGATAAGGATCATAAAGTAAAACTGAAAAATGTTTCTAACATATACCTAATGTTAATTTAACCATCCTATGATATTCATTTTTCCCTACATTTTACATGTAATGATGTGTGACTGTGTGTGTGATCACTCGTGCATGACTCTCTCTGACCCCATGGACTGTAGACCGCCAGGCTCCTCTGTCCATGGGATTTTCCAGGCAAGAATACTGGGGAGGGTTGCCATTTCTACTTCAGGAGATTTTCCTGAGTGGTTAAACAAGAGAAACTCTCTGATTATGGTCATTCTATTAAATATTGATTCATCAGAGCCCAAACTGAAGGCCTTATAGTCCATATCCTCTTTCCTATCCCATGGCACTTCTCTACTAAGGATGCATGTAAAATACACATATGAAATCATGTTTTCTATTATCAGTATCAGTTCAGTCACTCAGTCGTGTCTGACTCTTTGTGACACCATGGACTGCAGCATGCCAGGCCTCCCTGTCCATTACCAACTCCCAGAGCTTACTCAAACTCATGTCCATCACTTTGGTGGTGCCATCCAACCATCTCATTTTCTGTCATCCTCTTCTCCTGCCTTCAGTCTTTCCCAACATTAGGGTCTTTCCTAGTGAGTCTGTTCATCACATCAGGTGGCCAAAGTATTGGAGTTTCAGCTTCAGCATCAGTCCTTCCAATGAATATTCAGGACTGATTTCCTTTAGGATGAACTGATTGGATCTCCTTGCAGTCCAAGGGACTCTCAAGAGTCTTCTCCAACATCACAGTTCAAAAGCATCAATTCTTCGGCACTCAAGCTTTCTTTATGGTCCAACTCTCATATCATACATGACTACTGGAAAAACCATAGCTTTGGCTAGACAGACCTTTGTTGGTAAAGTAATGTTTCTGCTTATTAATATGCTGTCTAGTTTGGACATAGCTTTTCTTCCAAGGAGCAAGCGTCTTTTTACACTAGAGTCACTGAAAGAACTTCTTAACAATAGGCTATCAACGATGGTGACAGGAATCATACTCCTCAACATTAATATCATTCTATGAACTGATCACTCAAAGTAACCTAGAAATTTCAAAACAAGAGTTTGAAATTGGAGAGTTTCTATTATAGCAGTGTAAGAATAAGGAAGAGTATTCTAAGCTTATTTGGAAAATACATGAGATAAAACTTTGGAAATAAAAAACATGAAAATGTGTTTCTATGAAATCTGGACACACCTCTTGGGACATTCAGGAAAAAAGTGTCTGACTTCTCCCATCCTCCCTGTCATTTGGAATATGCACAGCTTATGCTGTGTGTCTGCTGGGACCCAGCGGTAGTAGCCATCCTTTAAAGAGGCACACGTGCCCTTTCAGGAGAAGTAAATAAAGTCAAGGGGAATTTAACAATTAAAAAAGGGTAACAACCAAGAAAGAAGAGATGATATGGAGAGAGTTGAGGGGAAGAGCAGAATGGAGCCTCCTTGAATGCAGGGCAGGAATGGGTTTGGAGATAAGCTGGGTGAGGGGGAGTAGGTACTAGGGAAAGTTGAGTGAAAGGGTTTACATTAACAATCATTATTTATTTCATCAATATTCAGATATTCCTATTTATTGGAATGTTCATTTCTTTCTATCTTCCAATGCATTTTTGTTTTTTATACTTTTTTATTTTGGTAAGCAGAGGGCATGCTCCAATATTTTGGATATAAAATTTGTGTATTATGTAAAGTATTATGTAAGTAATATGTAAGTAATAAATTAGAATAAGTAAAAAAAAAGCATGTACTTTTTTCGGTGTGTTCTGGTATACTAACTCTGACTTAAAAATTGATAATGAGAGTTGTTCCAAAGGTCATAGATTACTCATTAAGATATCATAGGGGCTTAGGATAACTTGAGATTTTTCCAAAGGCATCAGTATGTGAAGGAAAAGGAGGAAAAATAAACAAACAGAAAAAATAAGCAATTTCTTCCTCTAAGTCCTCCTTGACAAGAAAAGATTTTATTAAAAATAATCTGTGTTGAAATTTCAAAAACTTTCATGGCAGATCAGGGGAAAAAAAAAGTAATGGAATATGTTTTGTCCCCATGTTGAATGTGGTTACTTCACACATTGTCTTCCCTCAAGTTTCTCATTTCAGCTGCAGAGATTTTATTTAAAGCTGACAAGTTGAAATGAAGTGGGCTTGTTTGCTTCATTTTCTCGCTCTGTTTTGGAGGGTTTATTATATCACTGATAGGAGAGTGTGGGTCTCACTGGCACTCGAGGAGATGCATGGGCGTGCTGCAAATGGGACAGGAAGCCCTGTTTGTCAGGCGGAGCAGCGTTCTCCAAGAAGGGGAAATTTAAATTGCTCCTTTTGTTAGTGCTAGCTTGCTCTTATGTAATGCTGTGATTATGAGTATTACATAAGAAATGTTAAGATTATAATGGGTCCAATTTACCCTTCAGAATTCATTCACTGAATTTAATGGGGATTGTAAAAAGCCTGCCTTGATAAACTTTTCTGGAGGTAATGTTTCCATTAAAAAGTCAGGACCAGTTTGTTAATTTACTCCTCTCTCATAACATTCTTCAGCTTTTTTCTTTTTTTTTTTCAGGAATTAATTTCTACATTTAATTTAGCAAAAGATGATCTTTTTTTTCAGTAGTATATAAGTAAGGTGATTTTAAAAACAGGTTTGTTCTAGGGATTTCCATTCAACAGCAAAATAAAAACTGTAACATAGTTTGTGTGTAAACAGAAAATTCCAGTATCTGTGGACAGAAAAGGGTTATTTTGTTTAAGTTTATCGGGGAGTATTTGCCACGTAAGTCTCAAAAAAGTTCAATCCATATTAGCTAAGTTAGATGGTGCTCTATTGACTTTAGATTATTAAATATTAACATTTTCATAAAAATGTGCTGTTATGGTTTGCTTTAAGATGATAGGGTATCTCTAAGTAAGGAATAATAAATCCAAAAATGAACAGACAAGAAAAACTTGAGCTTACGTTTCTACTATCTAATGCTTTCCATTGCATTGTTAGAGTGGACAATTCCATTGCATTGTTAGATTCTGGCATTACTGTAATGCTTTTGGGTGACCTGTGTGTGTGTGTGTATGTGCATGCTCAGTCATGACTGCCTCTTTGTGACCCTGTGGACTGTAGCCTGCCAGGCTCCTCTGTCCATGGGATTCTCAAGAATACTCGAGTGGGTTGCCATTTCCTCCTCCAGAGGATGTTCCTGACCCAGGGATGGAACCCATGTCTCTTGCATCTCCTGCACTGGCAGGCAAATTTTTTACCACTGCGCCACTTGGGTGAATAGCAAGGAGAGATAAGAAAGCCTTCCTCATGTGGTCAATGCAAAGAACTAGAGGAAAACAACAGAATGGGAAAGACTAGAGATCTCAAGAAAATTAGAGATGCCAAGGGAATATTTCATGCAAGAATGGGCTCAATAAAGGACAGAAATGATAGGGACCTAACAGATGCAGAAGATATTAAGAAGAGGTGGCAAGAATACACGGAAGAACTGTACAAAAAAGATCTTCACAACCCAGATAATCATGATGGTGTGATCACTCACCTAGAGCCAGACATCTTGGAATGTGAAGTAAAGTGGGCCTTAGGAAGCATCACTATGAACAAAGCTAGTGGAAGTGATGGAATTCCAGTTGAGCTATTTCAAATCCTGAAAGATAATGCTGTGAAAGTGCTGCAGTCAATGTCAGCAAATTTGGAAAACTCAGCAGTGGCCACAGGACTGGAAAAGGTCAGTTTTCATTCCAATCCCAAAGAAAGGCAATCCCAAAGAATGCTCAAACTACCACACAATTGCACTCATCTTACACATGCTAGTAAATGCTTAAAATTCTCCAAGCAATACATTCTTCAGCAATACATGAACTGTGAACTTCCAGATGTTCAAGCTGATTTTAGAAGAGGCAGAGGAACCAGAGATCAAATTGCCAACATCCGCTGGATCATCGAAAAAGCAAGAGAGTTCCAGAAAAACATCTATTTCTGTTTATTGACTATGGCAAAGCCTTTGACTGTGTGGATCACAATAAACTGTGGAAAATTCTGAAAGAGATGGGAATACCAGATCACCTGACCTGCCTCTTGAGAAACCTGTATGCAGGTCAGGAAGCAACAGTTAGAACCAGACATGGAACAACAGACTGGTTCTAAATCGGGAAAGGAGTATATCAAGACTGTATATTGTCACCCTGCTTATTTAACTTATATGCAGCATACATCATGAGAAATGCTGGACTGGATGAAGCACAAGCTGGAATCAAGATTGCCGGGAGAAATATCAATAACCTCAGATATGCAGATGACACCACCCTTATGGCAGAAAGTAAAGAAGAACTAAAGAGCCTCTTGATGAAAGTAAAAGAGGAGAGTGAAAAATTTGACTTAAAGCTTAACATTCAGAAAAATAAGATCATGGCATCTGGTCCCATCACTTCATGCCAAATAGATAGGGAAAGAGAGGACACAGTGGCTGACTTTATTTTTCTGGGCTCCAAATCACTGCAGATGGTGACTGCAGCCATGAAATTAAAAGCCTCTTACTCCTTGGAAGGAAAGTTATGACCAACCTAGATAGCATATTAAAAAGCAGAGACAT